GCAGCAACCTTTCTCTGCGCCAAGGACAAGCTCTCCACACGCGTCTTGACCCTATTCCCTCCCCTCTCCTCCAGAAGACCACATTCCCCCTCTCTCGATGCTTCAACTTCTCCCTATCAACTGGTTCCTTTCCGCCTACTTTGAAACACGTCTGAATGCTCCCCATTTTTTTTAATTTTATTTTTTCAGTTCTCTCTCTATCCCCCTCCCCATGCTTACTGAGAAGGCGAGAAATAAAATGGCAATTACAAATATGAAGTCACGCAAATGTCTGCATCAGCCACACTCTGGAAAAAGACAGACAAAAACCTTCTGTGTGCATTCTGGGTTCCTAAGTTCTCTATGTGGAGGTGGATTTTCACCAATGGTCCTTTGGAACTGTGGTGGGTCACTGAGTCGATCAGCTGCTAAATCTTTCAGAGCTGGTCATCTGCAGCACTGCTGTTTCTGTGTAAACTGTTCTCCTGGTTCTGCTCCTTTTGCTTTGCCTCAGTTCATACAAGTCTTCCCAGGTTTTTCTAAAACCACCCCCTTCATCATTTCGTAAAGCCCAACTATATTACATCACCCTCATATACCACTTGTTCATCCATTTTCCCAATTGATGGGCATCTCCTCAGTTTCCAATTCCTTATCATCACAAAAAAAGTTGTTTAGAAATATTTTTGTAAATATGGATCCTTTCTCTTTTACTTTGATTTTTTTGGGGCACAGACCTACAAGCTCTCCCCTATCTTTGAGAAAAAAATTACTAAGCTGTGGATACCCTTTGACCTAACAATACCACTACTGGAGCTCTACTCAAAAGAGATCAAAGAAAGAGGAAGAGCTACTATATGTACAAAAATATTTATAGCAGCTCTTTCAGTGGCAGCAAAGAAACAGAATCTAAGGTAATGCTCAGCAATTGGGGAATGGCTGAACAAATTGTGGTATATGAATGTGATAAAATACTACTGCACCATAAAAACAAGGAGAGGGGATGGTTTCAGGAAAAACTTGGGAGATATGCAGGTTGAAGTAAGATGTACCAGGAGAATAATTTATACTCTAAACAGCAACATAAAAACAAAGAACTCTGAAAGATTTAAGAACTCTGGTCAGTGCAATATTCAACCATGATTCCAGAAAACTGATAATGAAAGGCTTTACAAATATTATCTCATTTGATCCTCCCAACAAGCCTATTGCTATTATCCTTACTTTACAGTAGAGGAAAAAGAGGCATACACACAGGTGAAGTGACTTGTCCAGAGTCACACAGCTAGTGAGTGTCTGAGGCATTCCTCAGGTGCTCTTGACTTGAGGCCCGGCACTTTATCCATTGCATCACCAAGCTGATGTAGACTAAATGTGCAGAATGAGACACACACCTTGACAGGACCAATATGAAATCTGCTTTGCTACTTGGGGAATGGGAAAGGGAAGGGAAAGGCAATCAATACTTGTTACTTGAAAACTTTTTCAAAAAAATCTTCACTAGATTGTACCCTTTCCTCTCTATTTCTCCTTTTCTCATCTATACTCTGAAAAAGCGGTCTACAATTGCGACTCTTCCTCACCTCTCACTCACTCTTCATCCCTTTATCATGTGGCTTCATTCCTCAACTCTCAACTGAAATCAGTCTTTCAAGTTACCACTCATCTCTGAACTGCCCAATCTTAGGCTTTTCTCAGTCCTGATTTTTCTTGACCAATGTGCTGCATGTGGCCCTCTAAACCACCCCCTCCTCGTGGATCCTCTCCCCTCTCTGGGTTTTGTGACAATACCTACTCTCTCAGTTCATCTCCTACCTATCTGACCACTCCTCAATCTCTTTTGCTTGTTCATTATCCATCCTGCACCCTTTAACTCTGGGTGTCCTCCAAGGCCGTCCTGGGCTCTCTCCTCTTCACCCTCTCTCCTCTTGCTCTTGGTAAACCCAGTTCCCTTGAATTTATTAATCATCTCTATGCAGATGAGGATATTTATATATCTATGACAGATATATAGACCCCAATCTCTCCCCTGAGTTTTAGTTCCCCCATCATCAACTACTTATCACATATCTCAAATCAAATATCCTGGAAACATCTCAACCTCAACATGTCCATAACTCCACTCATTATCTTGTCCTCAAAGCCCTCCCCTCTTCCAAATGTCCCTATCTCTGTTGAAGGCACTGACCACCTTCTAGTGCCTCAGGCCTATCTTAGTATTATCCTTGTCTCTTGACTTTCCCTCACTCCCCCACAACCAATTAGTGGTGAAATCGCATTTAACCTTCACATCTCACGAGCCTACCATTTCTCGCCCCTCCCACAGCTACCAACTTGGTTCAGGCTCTCTCCATCTGTTACCTAGATGACTGGTTTCCTTGCTTCAGGTCTCTTTCTTGCCCTACCCACCACCTCCAGTGTATTGCGCACACTACTGCCAGAGTGATTTTCATTAACCAGACCACTGTTTTGTTACTCAACCAAGCCCAGTGGTTTCCCTCTGTCTCTGGAATACAACATAAGCTCCTCTCTTTAGCTTTGAAAGCCCTATATAACATGGTGCCAATCCATCTTTTCAGACTCAGTAGATGCCACTCCAACTCCCACACTCTGTCATCTGGCCCAGACGGCCGTCTCTATGTTCCTCATAAACACCCAGTCTCTTGCCTCAGTGCCTTCACACTGGTCATCCCCCAAGTCCGAAATGTAGCCCTTCCTTATCTCTGCTTCCTTTCCACCTTAAAAGCATCATCAAGCATCATTTTCTGCATAAAGCTTTTCAGGATTCTCCCAACTACTAGTGCCTTCCTTCATTTTGTATCTTAGTACATATTTGTCATTAACTTTACACTTATGCTGCATATATTTTCATATGTACTTGTCTCCTCCGAAAGAACGCAAGCTCACTGTTAGTAGGGATGGTTTCATTTTTTCTGTTTTTATCCCTAAAAAAGTGGGTAGTGCTGGGCCTAGAATCAGGAAGACGAGTTCAAATCCAACCTCAGATGCTTACTAGCTGTCTGATCCCGGGGAAATCATTTAACATGTCTGCCTCAGTTTCTTCATCTGCAAAACAGGGATAATAACAAGCACGTAGCTTGCAGGGTTATGAGAATCAAGAGAGATAATATTTGTAGAGTGCCTGTTACATATTCAGTGCTATATAAAAGTTTATTCCCTTCCTGGCCAATAGCAGACATGAGAGATCGTGCTGTGTATAAGCAACAGGGAGAGCAGTTTGGCTGGACCACAGCATATATGAAGGGGTGTAATGTCTAATGAGGCTGGAAAGCCAAGCTGGAGCCAGGTTGTACAGGTCTTTAATGTCGGAGAAAAGCTTTTGTTCGATCCTAGACCCTAAAAGCAATAGGGAGGTGCTGGAGGTGACCGGGGAAAGGAGTGGCATCACTGTGGCAGCTGTGTAGAGGATGAGATGTAGGAAGACAGAGACTTGAGCCAAAAAAGAAGCTGCTGCTACAAATGTGAAGTCATGAGGCTGAACTTAGATGATGGCCAAAGGAGGGGTCACCAAGTGTGGATGGAGAGAGCTGCCCAGGCTCCCCCTCTCACTGGGAAGACTGTCACCTAGCAAGAGTGGGCAACTGTAATTACAGGCATTTTCTTGAATCACAAGCAATTCTTCCTAGTTTTAGGGTAGACTGCCTACTCCTGTCTTAGCCTTTTTGTTCATAAAATCACCAAATTCATGTTACTGAGAATAGCTATTACCCTTGGGACTCAAGAGGAAAGAGCACAGAGCCTTACGTTTTTCAGTTGGCCTGCGGGTGACTTGTGCTCAGATTTTGCATGAAATAGTGACCAAAACATCTGGTGGGGGAAGGGGGAAAAGACCCCAAAAGAATATTCCCTCCTTTAAGAAACATTCAACTTTCACCTTATGATGTGAAATATGAGGGTGACCTCATCCATTTCTGAGATACAATGATATGAATTTTTTTGCTTAAAATCTGTTGCCTTCATCATATGTACTAAATTGTTTTGAATTAAAAATTTCCGAAGGAAAGTAATTTATTAAAGCTTGGCATTATACTGTCATAGCATTGATAAAATATCTTAAGGTCTCAGTATTCTTCATAACAACCTATGACGTAAGTTGTATAAAAATTATTCCTCCCATTTTACATATGAAGAAACTAAGGCTCTGAGGTGGTGACTTGCCTATGAGTGTCGGAAACCAACGTCTGCAGACTCCTGGGCCACATTCTGCTGCCTCTCCCTAGAAGAATCAGGAGCCTATGGCTCCAAGCTGCAGCTAAGAACTCTTTCTATAGAACCTGATACTAAGAGAACCACCCCACCTCACAAATCTGGGGAAGTCCAAAGTCCAAGCCCCAAAGGAGAAGAGGGATCAGAGCAGCTGAGGTAGCGGGCAGGGGTGGGAGAGCCATGCTCAACGAATAATGTGGGGCAATCCCTTTGCTGGTACTGAGTCACGTGGATTATATAGCACCCAAGGGAAAATGGGACTCAAAAAAAAAACCTGCTTGTCCCTTACAGAAAGGGGAAGTTTTATTAACTGTTGAATTCAAATATGAGCCCATTTTCTGTCGACTTAAATAAAAACTGCCCTAGAGTCAATATCCTTTTATCCTGAGTGGTTGTAGAGGAGGTGAGGGCCCTTTTATGGAAGCAAAGTAAGTGTCTTTCTGATATTCCCAGGAAAAACTCTAGGTTGAGAATGCCCAAGACTGCACATGGGTTTATCCTGTCAGCAGCTGGGACTCAACCGCCACACAGGTTAAATACAGTCATATAAAGTATGTCAGCATCTGATTTTAATACTGATGCTAAGAGACGTACCTTATATCTTTGGCTACAAAGGAGACAAGACTGGACCTAAGTTATAACCAAATCAGTGCTTTAAAAAAATAAAAAGGAATCAAACCAGTGTTTACCTATATTATAGTATGCCTGTAGCACAGTGTTCCCTAAACAGAGAAGTCACTCAATAAATAATTCTTGTCTGTGGAGATGTATTAAAATGATCAATAATTACTTGCTGAGGCAAAATAAGAAAAATCTTATTATTCATTTGATAGGCTGACAACTTTGAATTAGCATTCCAAAACATAAGCAATTCATTTTTCAAAATTATGCATCAAACTGACATCATTCGAATGTGGAAAAATACAACTACATGCATATAAAAACCTTTTCATATTTATTCAAACAAGGAAAACAGTTGATATTAAAAGATATCTACCAGTAGCTTTTTAATGGTTAACATTTTTTCATAATTAATTTCCTGTCTTGGTGACCACGTCCCAACTTTGAGTGATTTCCAGAAGCTCTTTAGAGATCATATACCTTCTTTTGATTAAATAAAAGAGTATTCACACTATTGCTACAAAACAAAGAATTAACATCTTGGGTTTCCATAGCTGGAAATCATTTCACTGGATATCATCATCATCAAAAAGATCTTCGAAATCTAGGCAAAAAATGAACCGTTAATATAATTCATTCATAGGTAAAAGGACATTTCTACTACTTTGATGAACATTAACTTTCAAGTTGAAGTAATAAAGCCTACAATATATATTCCTGGTATAAATGCCATCTGTATAAATGAAAATAATAGGCATGGCATAATTATGATCATCGGGATATTTTTATGCATTTACCATATTTATTAAATTGGAAGAATAGTTAAATATTGGTTGACAGGCCACATAAAATCCCATAGAAAAACTGTTATCTATGCTCTTCTCCTAAGAAGCTCTGGTACCTGGTTCCCTTGTGATTTACCTTCTTAGCAAGTCCACATTTCAAAACTTTCCTCTATTTTATTTTTAGTGGGGCCTTAAGAAGTCAATCGATCGCTACATGCAACACCCACTCTGCTCTGGCTCAATTTCAATTTCTACAGTTATGATTTTAAGTATTGTTTTTAATTTAATCATTGGTTCAACCATTCAGTGGGCTCTGCAATTCTTTATTTAAGAAAGCATGAAAAATTCAGGTCAAATTCTACTTTACCAGACAGCTGATTATACTAGGCTCTTTCAAAGCCTTGGCCTATGGCCTGCAATGGAACGCATTCATCAGGCAGGGCAGTGAAATACCTTCTTCATGCTGGTGCTAGCAATTGGAAACACCAATCACGGAATTATACAGTCATAACTTGGGCCAGAATATTTCTGCTGAGCTATTATAATGGCTATATGGCATTGCAAACAAATATTATATCTTGCTCTCTTTCTCTGTGGGACATTGTACAGATAGGAATATAAGGGCAGTGAGGATTCATGGAGGATATCTCACTCTGACTACTCTGAAAGATCTGCGATTTCACCCTTGTGTGTGTGCCAAAGGCTGAAAACTCTTCACTCTCTTGGTGCTGCTGGGGGGTTTCTGTTTTTATTCTTAACCCCTCTGGCTTCTCTTGTTTGCTCCCCCAAGTGTTTCAATGGACAAGAGAGAAGAGGGGGAGGGACAGGGCCAGTACCTAGTTACCCAGAGTCGAAGCTAGACTACAGGCCACACGCCTCCTCAAAAAAATGTATCTCTGAATCTGGTAAAGAGAGTTTCTAATATCCAATGTTGTGATTTTATTTATTTTGTTTTACTCTGTAAACAGGCGTCTGAACCGTGCATGACTGTTCAGTGCTCCAATGTCACAAAAGCTATTAAGGACTCCCTGCGACATATGCTTATGGAGACATTAGAAAGCTGAGATCCCAAACCCCAGCGTCCTTACCGTTAAAGAAGTCTGCATGGACGGCCTTCTCGTTGGCTGCCAAGTCCATCAGAAGGCCGGTGCTGCCTCCCGCCTAGCAAAGGAGGGAAACATTGTATCAAAAGAAAGAACGCTCAGTAACACACACTGCAAAAGTTTATTATCGCTCTTGAATCTCAGCCCAGCGATGACTGATGGGTCACAATCCCTCTCACTCACAGCGCAAGAGGAAAGGAGCACAAAAAGCCCTTCGATGACGCCAAGCACTGCACTAACGCACGGCGCAATCACAGCTAGTCCACAAACAACTGGACGCCAGGCTGGGTCTGAGCAGGGTGGTTCGTAAATGTGAATTTACAAGCCCACCCCTCCTAAGAAAAAGGGAAAGGCCTCTGGCTCCTGCTTCGCCCCAGACGACAATGTCCCCGCTCTTAAACTTCAATGAGCTTGGGTCACAAAACACTTTCTCGCTCGCTGCCCCCATTTTACAGGTGAGCAAATTGAGGCTCGAGAGTCATCGGGGGAGGGGAGGGTGACGTCAGGGAGCCCAAGGTGCCCCCCCCCAGCACTCAGCCGTCAGTGCCCCGGAAAAGCGCAGGGTTGGGGGAGGGGAAGCCCTCCGCCCCCGCCTCTCGCTCCTTGCTATGGCCCCGCCCCCTCCCGGCCACCCCTTTCCCTGCTCACGTGACCCACGCCCCCCCCCGCAGTCCCAGGCTAGGCCTCGGGCCGGCTCCCGCTCCTGCCATCACCTCGTCCAGGTCCACGTAGGGCCCGGCGCCCTCAGGGAACATCTCGTCCACAGCTGGCTTCATAATCCCGTCAGTCTGTCCTTCCGTCTCGGCCCAGCACGTCACGCTCGTCTAGTCCCGGCACGTTCCGCCCCGGCTATACACGACTTCCGGTTTCCGCCACAGCACTTCCTGTGGACGCGCGCGCTTGCGCGGCATGTGTAGGAGGCGGAGGACCATCCTCTCTATGGTATATCGGTTACCTTCCCGGCTTCCTTTCGAACGCCGGTTACAAACCACGGCCCCTACCCCGCTCTCTGGCCAGGGAGCTGACACGTCGAGGAAGACTGGTTTTTGCGTTCCCTTTCTGGGCTAAAACGATCTTTACATTAAAAATTATTATCCTTTAATTGGAAGCACCAATTGGGCAGCTCCATCCTTTGCATTCGAAGCCCCAGTGCCCCTGCCAGCCCCGCCAGCTCTAGGTCACTGACCTCATGTCGATTTCACAAAAGGTCACTGGCCGGAGACATCCTGAGACTGCGTGGAGCTCGGAGGCCGCCCAGGACAGCTGAGCGGTTAGGAGACCCCGGCACCCCAGCGGCCAAGGGGCTGCTCCCATTCTGTCTCCCCGAAGGGTGGAAAGAGGGGCCAGGCTAGACCGAGGAGGACGTTTCTGTCCTGGTGGGTAGGAGCCGGAACCAGCCGGCGAGGCAACGTACATGCTTTCATGAAAATGAAAAGGTAGATGGGAGCTAAAGAAGTGTCTCCGCCGGTTGGCTGGGGTGGTGTGGGACTGTGGGTTCACCATACCAAGGTTCACCCTGGACGAGTCACTTTGGTGACCTCTGCCTCAGTTTCGTCATCTGTAAAAGGAGTGGGCTAGACTAGCTGGCCTCGCTGGACCCTAAATATCCGACTCCATCCCAGAAGGGAATCAGGACTAGAATTCAAACTCGGGTCCACTGGCTGGAAATCCAATTATTCTCCTATTTTGCCTCTTAAAATTCCTTTTAAAATTAATTGTATCCACAGTGGTTATCAGAGTGCTGGGCCCGTAGAAGGCACTTAAAACACTTGTTCAGTCATGTCTGACTCTTCGTGACTCTGTTTGGAGTTCTCCTGGCAAAGATACTGGAATGGTTGGCCATTTCTTTCTGCAGCTTATTTTACAGATGAGGAAACTGAGGCCAACAGGGTGACTAAGCATTAATTAAGTGCCTCCTAAGTGCCAGGCACTTTACTAAAGCATTCGGAGAACAAAGGCAGTCCCCCTGCTCTCAAGGAGCTTACAGTCTAATGGGGGAAGACAAGGCACAGAAAGAAGCTAGAAATGGGGGAGGGGCAGTTGGAGTCCAAGCCAAGCACAGCTGCAGATGGAGAGTGAAGAGGGAGCTGGAGTGTCCAGATCCTACCCTCGACAAAGGAGAGCTTTGGGAGGAATTTGCTGCTCCTCCCTGCTGCCCTCCAGCAGAAGGGAGAGGAGGCTGAGGGGGCTGGGAAGCTATGAAGTGTTCCAGGCTGACTTAACGGTGCCATAGGCTTAGGGGGCGTTCCGCCTCTGGTCTGAGGGCTGCTTGTCCACCTTTGGCATCATCTGATTCACTGAGTTCTCTACCTGTGCACAGCCATGCCCCCCCCCCATCTTGGCAGATGGGCTGAACTATACTAAGGGTAACTGATGGGCCTCAGACCTGGCTGTGAGTTAGGGGGGTGTCTACCCCAAGCATGAGAAGACTTGTCCCAGTGGAACGGGCAGATGAGAACAAGCTGTTCTGAGGGCCAGGAAGGCAGCTGAAGCAGGTGTTTAGAGCTTGGTCAGCCATTGAAGACGCCAAGGTCATCTGCTGCTTCCTGCGCCATCCCCAGTCTTCTTGACCTTTGTCTTGTGACTGGCCTTGAAAGACTCTGAAAGCGAGGCTGATGACTTCGTGTAAGCCCGCCTCAGTTGCCTCCAAGTGAAGAATGCCCTGTGCTGGCATTGGACAAACAAGGCAGTGATGAGATTTTAGATGATCAGCTTCTGCTGGGCAGGGCCGCATGTTTGGAGGAGTTCAAGCCAAGCCAAGGACAAATGCAAAGTGGAGAGATCTGCACCCAGATGCCCTGACTCCAGAGAGTTCTGAGTCTGAGAAATGAGGCCATAATAATAACTCACATTTCTGTGGTTTACAATACATTTCTTTCACTACAGCTCTGTGAAGAAGGCAAGTACAGGCATTATTTTGTGGAAGAAGAAACTGGCACTGAGAGATTAAGTGACTTGTGCATGACGCTGCAGTAAGTTTCAAAGCAGGCCTTGCCTCCAGGGGTGGGGAACCTGCGGCCTTTTGACTGAGTCCAACTTTTACAGAACAAATCCTTTTATTAAGGGAATTTGTTCTGTGAAGTTTGGATTCAGTCAAAGGGCCACACTTGAGGACCTAGAGGGCCACAGGTTTCCATTCCCTGCATCCAAACCATTTTTTCAAGGACAGCATTAATGCTGGTTTTAGGCCTGGAGTCAGGAAGACTCATTTTCCTGAGTTCAAATCTAACTTCAAACGCTAGCTGTGTGACCCTGGGCAAGTTATTTCACCCTGTTTGCCTCAGTTTCCTTATCTGTAAAATAAGCTGGAGAAAGAAATGGCCAACTACTCTAAGCTCTCTGCCAAGAAGACCCTAAATGGGGTCATGGAGAGTCAGAAAGGACTGAAATAGCTGAACGACATTGATGCTGCAGAAAGAGGCCACGAAACTCACTGGGGCATAACGGATCTCAGGCTCGTCAATATAGAGGGGCTTCAGAAGGCCATCAAGTCCAGCTGTACTTTGAATGTTTACATACAATTATATCTCGTTATAAAGATGAGGAAACTGAGTCTGAGAGAGTTTAAATGACTCGCCCAAGGTTAGTTACAAGGTTCATTAGTTGCCAAGGGAGTTACTGACAGATGCAGAATTTGAGTCCAGGTCTTTTGACCCCAAACCCATCCTGGGCTTTTTCCCACTGTACCAAACTACTTTTCTAGGGCATTGGGTGGGGGGTGGGGCAGGGGAGGACACAGCACTTAACCAGAGCAAAGGAATTTGAAAAGGGAGGGGAGAAGAGCCAAAGACAAAGGTCCCAGTCTTGCTCCTGCCCCAAGGAAGGCCAGGAATGGTCCCCTTCCCCTTCCAGCTCCAGAGCCCTGTCTCTTCAGACACACTGTGCCTTTTAAAGCATCACCCAGCAAACGAGGCCTTTGTGACCTGCAGTCACACAAAAGCACGTAGCCCACAGACTATATCGTTAGGCCACACTATCACTTCTGTTGTCGGTCAGTCCTGTCTGACTGTTTGTGGCCCCACCTGGGGTTTTCTTGGCAGAGGTACTGGAGCGGTTTGCCATTTCCTTCTCCAGCTCATTTTACAGATGAGGAAACTGAGGCAAACAGGGTGAAGTGACTTGCCCTGGGTCACACAGCTAGAAAGTGTCCGAGGCTACATTTGAATCCGAGAAGATGAGGCTTACTGGATCCAGGGCTGACGTTCTATCCACTGCACCACCTAGCTGCCCTATTATAGTAACAGCAGACGTGTTAAGATGTGCACAGCCAAGTTGGCTGTAAAGCTGGTAGTTGTGGCTACCATTTCAATCTGCTCCAAATAAGGAGCTTTGTTTTCTCACCTCCCTAACATCTTCTCTCCCCTCCCCTCCACACTTTCTAGTCTTCAGTAAACAGGTGTGAGCTCTCCAACACAATCACACCATCATGGCTGCTTAGAAAAATAAATATAAGAAAGGAGTCCGACGTGTTACCATCTCCCTCTTGGACTGCCTTGGCTACTACTAATTAAGAAAAAATCTGCGGTATTGTGGGGGATGTATTTTACATCGCTGTCATTTCAATACCCTCCCCCCCCACTGTAGAACCGTTTCTTTTAATTTCAGCAAAACAAAGCAGCCCTTCAGCCAAGCACAAGCATGTTCATCAGCTCTGCCAAGTTGGTAATACTGTGCCCACTCCCTCTTCATTTTCTTAGGAAAGGTAATTTGAATATATACATATATATATATGTATATGTAAATATACAGACATATAGAGAGACATATAAAAAGTTAGAAAGACATTGTTTCTGGGTAAACAATCATTTTATTAATTATGGCTAGTGAATCATTAATAAAGAGGTCGTTCGACTGTCTTTCCTAAACCAAAGACCCTCAGGGAACCCACTCATTGCTTATATGCCTTTGGAAGGGTGGGTGTTCCTAAGGGTGGAAATCAACTCTGGTTGGTTAACAAGTAATGAGAGAATGAATATTATAATGAGAGGTGGGCTTATTTTAATGAGGGTCTGGGAGACATGACTCTGATTAGTCAGTCTTGATCAAAGAGACTTATCCATACCCATACCACCTGGATCCAGGTTAATCTAGACAAAAGGGGGAATTCACTTCTATTCAGACCTGTCTGACTAAAACACAATGGACCAGAATCCACCCATTCCCCTAATGTAGAATTTCTTTACCTTTTGATCAGATTTAAGTTTTCCATCTTATTATTAGCCCTGTACTTCAAAGGCTGCCTGAGTAACCTACAGGGGCTGATTTCTGAATGAGGAAATAGAAAAAAGGAAAGACTTTACTCCTCATTCAATAATTGCTAATTAATATAAGAGAGAAATAATCATTTTTCTCTTTATATATATATATATACATACACATGTATGTGTATCTGACTATATATATGTGTGTATATGTGTATACACGCATATAAATAGATAGTTAATGGAAATGGTCCTTTGTTTAATCTCGCTTATTCCTTTCCGTGTATACATTTCTTTTCATGAGGTTAAGCTTTAGTTATGGAGTGACCCAAGTTTGACTCTAAAACAACTAAGACATTGTACCTTTGTTTGTGTTCTCCTAAGGGTTATTGGCATTGTTTATCTCAGAAGTTAGCTTTCATTGGATTCCACAGCCTGACCTGAATGGGCTTTTGTGGATGGTACGAAGAGGCTACTCTCTTTAGAAAGGCAAAAGGATAAGGCAGAGAAACGTCACTTACTTGAAACACCAATATGAATTTTTTGTGCACCAAAGAGCCAAACTGTAGTTCACTAGTCTTACTTGGAACAAAATACATGCATACACACACACACATACACACACACACACACACACACACGCACACTACAATACATGTAACAC